GCCACTTACGCTTGGCGTGGTTAGTGTAGGGGACAGCATCACGGATCTAATTTTTCAGGAACACCTTCAGCACACCTCGTAAATCAGACCGGAGATACGTCAGACACCGCCACGTCGAGCCAGACGACGGATGGTGGTTATCTCGAAGAATTTGCGTTTGGTTCTGAATATGGCGATGAGTGTGCGCCCGAGAATCGGAGGCGAATGCCACTTCGACTTGTTTCGTCTACTTACTACTCTCTGACGACTGTGCTGGGGAAGCAGCATATGTATGTAGGTAATTGGTGGATTTGTTAGTTAATTCGACGCTTTTGAACAATGCTGGACATTTACCAGTTTTTCAATAACTTCTTGTTGAAAATCAACATTCGGAAGCATTGTTATCGTTGCGTAGCCATATTTCTGATCTATTGGTGATACAATTATTGAAATTGGACCAGGGGCAGCTGGGTTATTAACGTTCAAAATCTTTCTTAAATTGTTACATCCCAAGTAACAATTCAGTAACCATTTAGCATCCACTCTGATTTATGGTGGTTTTATAACGGCAATGAACAATCCATTTAGTTTAAATATAGCATTTTAAAGTGTAAATCATTCCTGCTTAGAAATTCAGCTTTTTGCTGTTTTAAAAACCTTTCATAGTCTGGCAAGAAAGTCGAAAACTGCTTTGTTTTAAAAATAAATTTAAAACAGTTATCCATCCCTCCTTAAAACTGTTTTGTAATTCAAGCATAAACATCATTAGCAATTGTTAATAATGTTATGATAAAATACTTTATAAACGTGTTCTATCATTATAAAAGCAACCATAAAACAATTAGGTTTTGCATTAGAGGAAAAAGCATTTATTGTTGCATTTTAGGCTTTTTAAAAAGCATCATTAACTCCCCAATTATTTTGTTTACAAATTGAGCTTAAAAGATAATTCCTCATAGTTAATAAATGCCAAATTTACGACAAGGAAATCTCGAAGGATAGACGAAGTAGGATGAAACAATCAAGTCAATTTCAGATAAATTTACTTCTTTAGAAGAACCAGCACACCACCAACGACTGACCATCTGTCTGAGAAGAGTAAAGTGAGCGGGGCCCTCGAACTCATAAAACATTGTCTAAAGTTGAAAAACATACCAGCCTTCTCCAGATCTTGCGATGACAATCGAAATAACAACCGACAGCAAACCACTGAAACTGTTCGTTAGCGGAGATCAGCTGGTTTCCGATCCAACGCAGCGATTTTATTCGGCGAAAGACTCTTCGAAAATTTCATTCAACCGTACATCCCTGCATCATTGGATGGGGCACTTCTGTAACCATCCGGAAGAAGGGGATCTTTTTCGGGAACGATTGCGCTTCCAACTGTTCGAAAAGCGAAATTTTGTAAAACTAGTATCGCAAATTATCTGAGTAACTGCTCCCAATCCATCGGGAGAAAACCGCCTGGAATAATCCTGGATCTCACAGCGCAACTATCGAAAGATAAACAAACTTTGACGTTTAACTTTTTGCAGGCAACTTTGCCTCCATAAATACTGCCATAAATCTGAACGGGTTAGGATCAAGCAAAATGGCTTTAGATAAATACAATTCAGCCTGCAAGTTTTCTTCATAAAAGCCATTTTAAAACCTTATTAATTTGTTAAGAAATTCTTGAAAGCAAAACAACTTATTCACAAATGACCCATGAAAATCAACTTTTATGCCACCGCCATGTTACAATTAGTTTGCTTGTTTTTTACAATCTTCGATTTTCAATCTATATTTTGGTAAATTTAGCAATAAGCAAACATTTAAATGCGAAAATAATAAAAAAAAAAATCTCGGCCAAGCTCGATCTGAAGAATATATTTTTTTTTTGCAATGTTAAATAATTGGTCAAATCGACGTTTTACGAGGGTGGACTTAATTTTTTCGATGTTGTCACGTACATTTCACTTAAAATTTAATATGGCACTTAAAACTAGGCCACTTAATGAGAACTATTGTAATAAATTTGGATATTCAACAAGATTTTTATACCATCAGTTTCTATTTTAATTATTTTGATAAGATCGGATTCATAAATCCTTTTCTATCTTGATTGATGCTTTCCTAGTGGATTCAGCATGTGGCTAGGGGAAATTGCTCGGAAAGGGTTTTTATTGTTGCTAAATAGCTTTTATTGTAGCTTGCAAATGGTTCTCAATGCGTTCGTCATACAACCTTTTGCAGTAAATCAATCTTGAAGAGCTTCGAGAATACACCCTTCAGAACCTTCTCCAGGGTGGGCCAACTAGACATATTCTAGTCTAAATGAGGTTTTGGCGGATGCATTAATGACAAAATAGCCTTGACCAGGGTTTTATGAATGTTGTTTTATAGTTGCTTTGTAGTATTTCATAAAACTTAATATGTTACTTGGGATGTTCCATTTTCAGTTTTCACAAAGTGTACCCCCATATAGAAATCAAAGACGTAGTCCTACGTCAAAAATAGATCATTCCATGCAATATTTTATATATTTCATGAAATATTTCATAATTTAAAATTTGTATAAACAAATATTCAAAGATCAGAGGCACAAAGCCTAGTCCAAAGCGAGAGCGTCATTCTGACTTGGTCAAAGGCACTAATGCCAGAGGATTTCTTTTTATTGGGAAGCCCTAGCGGCCCAATAAAAGAGGAGTATTGCTGGTTCAGAAGAAGACTGATCTATTCTTCGGTTGTTCGTTACAGTATTGTTAGTATTCGTGATGGGTGTTAAGGGGACCGTGATTCTAGTTTCAGATGCGGCGAATGACGCCGACAATTGTATAGTTCTTGGCAGTGGTGTTCGTGGTTATTGTAGAGGCAATGGCACAGGTAGCAGTGAAGGTGGTGTGACAGAAAGTGAGCGCTTTGCAAGGAAGGATTCTAACCACCGGGCAAAAGCATCGGAAGCTCCCAGATGCTTTAGTTTGGCCACCAGTATGGAGTGGTCGACGCGGTCGAATGCAGCTTTGATGTCGGTGTACACCGTGTCAACTTGTGCTCCGTCCACCATGTGTTGCTGAATTCAACTAAATTCATGTTAATCGAGCGACCAGGGAAGAAGCCGTGCTGATCTGTTTAAATACAGTGGTCATCACTTCTGCGCAGCTTTATGAATATTCCTTGCGTATTACTTATTTTATGTGATGACTTTATTGCGCTATTTGTAAAAATTTCGAAAACAATCATGCAAACTTCTATGTATACTATAATAGGGTAGGTGTTCCAGTAATTGTGGTGTACCTATAGTTGCTGTATGGATATTGTGTCGGAATAATGAGGAAGGCCCAGATAAGATTATTGTTCAGCGATAGCTCTCCTAAAATAAAGCATATTTGTATACAGGTATGCCTGGATACCACGTAACTGTCACTTTTGGCTTCCATCGTCGATTTCCCGCAAATTATCATTCAAACAAGCAAAGTAATATCACCATCGGACAGATTAGATAATCCCCCATTTATTGGTAATGATAATTTGTATGATTCAATTGTTATTATCGAGATATTGACGATGGAGGTCAAAAGTGGCAGTTAAGTTATATCGAGGTATACCTGTATTTCAAACTTAAAATTACCACAAAAATGGCGGAAAATAATTATTTTACTTAAAATTTTCACTCCGTTGCAACTATAGTTGCGGTTATGTTCCTATAATAGTGGAGTTTTTCTTCTTCTTTATTTAGGAGATTTTGGTCCGTGGGCTGGTTTATCTCCATGAAAAGCCCGATCAAGGTCTTTTCAGGATAGTAATTGGTAAGCTTTGATGTGAGCTGAAAATGAGTTTCCCCTTTTTGATGTATGGTGCACAGAAGTTTGCATGGTTTTTTCGTTATTTTGACAAAATGCGTAATAAAGTCATTAAATAATTAAATAAGTCCTTATCCACTTGAACAACTTAGCCGTATACACCAAATCTTTACAGTTGATGGGCGGATCGATACGATTTTTGTGAGAAAAAATATACTTGTTTGCACCGGTGCACAGAAGCCAGTCGTAATGCAATAATTATTATATTAGTAATATTATTTTTCAAATGCTATGATAAATTTTAGTCTCGCAAAACTTCCGATAAGAATTGAATTGTGTGATAGCAATAAAGATGAAAATTTTTGTCATGGCATGACACATTGATTTTCCAAGAAACTCAATAAATATGTATACTTATTTTCAAAGACATAATTTTTTCTCATCCTCAGAGAGGAAAACTAAAACGTTATAGAATAAAATGACCTCCGTTATAAGCTTTGTTTAGCTAAGCTAAATAGCTAGTAATATTTTTGTATTTTTCATACCTAGCTGGACTCAGGAACTGAGTCAAGAAATAAGTGTATAAGTGGTTGCGATTTTAAACAAAACAAAAACCATAACAACAGATTTTTTATGAAGTCACGCCAAAGTAGATTACAACAGTGCTAAAAATAATCTCTCATCAAATGTATCGCTCAAACTAAAAAAAAAAAATGAAAATTAATAATTTGTATGGTTCTATCACCACAAGTATGTCAATTTGAAACTCCATTGTGAAAGTGCTACATTGTTTCATTGAAAACGATAAATTTTTATATTTACTGGACCAAGCAGTATTTTTTGCACAGAAGTTGTTTTGATGCAGAATGCCCAATAGCGTGGACAACAATGGAAAGATCCACCTGAACTATTAAACGATTAGCATGTTTCTGGAAACATCTTAGAGATGGCGCAAATTTCACATGTAAGCTGTTGTACATAAAATTCATCTTAGTGCAGTGCCTTCGCGTTTTTGGCAACACAAACTAATCACTTTAAATTCGCCAGTTATAATTACTTTACCTTTAAATTTAATTATTTAGTTACTTTACCTCTGATTCTCATGCTAAACAACTCTAACACTTTGCATTCTACTGAATACCGTTTACCACTGCTTCCCATTCCTAATATTATTGATGTGTAAGGCTAGTCATTTACAACAACATTAACCTTACCTTGGTATGCCCTTTGTTTCCACAGGTATCGGGATTGATCCTTTTAATTGCCGGAATAATAGTACTCCTCGATGTTAACGACTACCAACATTTCATCGAGGACAAGTTGATGGCGCCTCCGATCGTATTGATCGTAGTTGGAACTTTCGTCTTCCTCGTCGCTTCTCTTGGCTGCTACGGTGCCATAAAGGAGTCTCCAAAACTTCTGAATGCTTTCGCCGTTTTCGTGTTAATAGTTCTACTCATAGAAGTAGCCGTTGCAATCGCAGCGGTGGCTTTCAAGTCAGATCTACAGAACGCTCTACAGTCCCAATTGGAGAAATCCATTACTAGACGCAACAAAGCTGACATGGTAGCGTGGAATAGTGTTCATAAAAAGATGATGTGCTGCGGAATTGAAGGACCCAAGGATTGGTACGACAACAACAATAAAACCATGCCAGCCAGTTGCTGTAAACCTGATCTGATTGACCCTGAAACTAACGACTGCAAGAATGCTCCTCCACTATTTATGGATCGCTATTATCAGGTAAACTTCTTTGTGTTTTGTTTTTGGTGATTGAGCATAGTTATTATTCAATTATTTTTCATTGCCATTCGCAGGAAGGATGTTTGATGAAACTAAAGGAGCACTTTGATAAGAATGCAGTTGTGTTAATCGCAGTCGGGTTCGTCATTGCAGCTTTCCAGTTGCTGGGCGTAGTATTTGCATGCTGGCTATCAGCTGCGATTAAGTGCGATAAAAATTAAGTTAATGGTAAGCGCCTACCTAACGTTACTCTGTTCAAATGGTTGATATTAAAATCCTTTCCTTTCAGGTTAATTCTCACACATTTCATCTTACGGAAATATTATGATGATTTAAAGAATCTTTAGCTTAACACCACTTCCAATAGCCTCCACAACGCGTTATACTCAAGGAAAAAGATACGTTGTATAAAGAAGAGATGCCTTTTGTAATTACTCATAGCTGATAATGTACCGATGCATAAACAATTAGAACGAATCACAACATTTCGTGTATGCTGTAAAACAATCTAGTGATTTTCACATTGAATGCTCAAATCATATGAAGTTAAGCTTTTTTTATTTCGCTTCTTAGGAACATTATTCGCTTTTGTGAAATATGATTATGAATCTTACCAATAACAACAGAACTATTTTAGCTTTCCGTTATAGTAAACGAAGTAGTATACATAAAATATAAGAACAAAAAATAGTTACCACTGGATACAATAAAATATTCGTTATAAAATGCATGTTTAAACCGATGAGATTCAATAATTTTTGATTAATTGTTTGTTTGTTAGTCATTAAAAATAAAGAGAACGATTTTACCCTTACCATTTGAGCATTTCAAATTGATTGTTACACCCATACATAAATTATGAAAATCGCAATGAAAAAACAGACTTATAAATATATTTTGTCGAATTGTCAAAAGTTTAAATTTAAAATAATCCTACATATCTGCGTTCCTACAGTAATACAAAAACCCTTTTTAATGTCTACAAACAGATCTTATATATATATAATTACCATCTAAAACCTAAAATCTTGGTTTCATTAATTAATAATGTCCTTTCAAATATTGATTACCCATAATTTAGCATACATTTAACAAAGTAAATTGCGTCCAAGAAAGTCACATTTTATAGTACATGAAGCATTAGCTTATAAATTTTAGGGTGCATTTAACTGCAAGATATAAAATAAATTTTGAAAACCGAGACTTATTTCTGATCTAACATTTATTTTGTCGATAACAGGAGAGACTGAACACACTTGATCCCTGGGAACAATTGGAATCTTGGATTTTTTTCTGGTAAGTTTCCACAAAATTTCGACTATGCTATGACATTTTCGTCAGATCGTGGAAATATTATATTTTTGAAAGCAGTTCGTATGTTTAGACTTTTTTTGGAAAGCATGAAAATTTTTAATAGCTTTTTGAATTTTCTACTAACAGAAATACAATTTTCACAGTCCGAAGCAGTCTATAATTAGACCCGATAATAATCGTTCAATTGATGATGTTTATTTTATTTTATTTTCTCCAGTTTGATTTGAAGTTCAAAACTCAGTTAGGGGCACTTGATCCCTCGAAGTTTACACACACTTAAACCTTATATATGATTGTGAAAAAATAAGCTCGTGCTAGTTGGTTGAGCTGGTAGCAGTGCTGAACCAATACATATATAAACAGGCCATATACACTCAACCAGAGCTGTAAAATATCAACTATAAACGGCGATATTCAAAATTCTGCTTTGGTAACTCATTTGAGCTACCACTCATCGTCAAGGCAAACCACGTCAATTATCAATGAAAATGCTGTCAGTGAAGAACATGTGCAGATTTTTGTATTAACTAAATTTTCAACAAAATTATATCACTTGAGCAAAACAATTACATTGAGCCGTTAAATTGAGGTACCATCTACGCTTTGAACTGCATGGATAACAATAATGTGACACAGAATGCACGAAATTACGCTTTTTGTTACCTGTTGAATTTTTGTCACTGACGAAACAATGAATGAGAGTTTGACATAGAATTTTTTGAGGATCAAGTCTGACAGTGACTATGTGAAAAACAATTTTGTCAATATCGCGTGAAAGTACCTATGTCAATGACAATGACAAATCTCAGCACTGAGCCCAACCCAATTTTTATGCGGTATTATTTTCCTTTTTTATGATATTCGAATGAAACCAAGCTCGATGCAACTGGTGTCAAAACCGCATAAAAATATTACAGAATGATTTTCTGGCTAAGAGATATGAATATACTTAATTCGAAAAAATGTATTTATTAATGAGCTATATACATTATTTGAAGGAAACACTCACAACAATAATAAATCAAATAAAGCAAAACCCATTTTATTTTTGTTTTCAGGAAGATTATGGAAAAAGGCCCTAAAATGAGAAAGAAAATAATTCTTCAACAAAGTGGCTTGAAATCATCTCAGCTAAAACTTTGTCCAAGATCATGTGCTTCTTTTTTCAGAAATAAGAAAGTTAGTTCTTGAACATTAATTAATTTAAGTACCACCCTAATTAACACAAAGGCCAAAAGAAGGAAATTTTCAAGCACCGAAGACACCAAACGTCTAATACTTTAGAAATCTTCACTAGGGCTTTTGTCTAGCTAAATCCCCCTCCTGGACCGCTATGAAATGCATAGTATCCCGAGCAAGAGAAAATAACTAATCAATACCTAATTCTGATCTGATGTCAAAATTTGGTGTTGACCAGCATGACCTAATCGGTAAAATACCAAAGAATAATACAAAAAACATTACATGCAAAATACTATGTAAATAACAAAAAATGATGTTTCAATACCAAAAGAATACCTGTGTGGTATTGTTTTGGTATTGCATATGAGTAATTTGGTGTTGGAATGGTATTGTGAGAACATTTTTTTGGTATTTTTTTTTTGTTATTTTACCTCTTATGTCAGGCTCATTCATACCAATTTAAGGTATCGAGATATTCGTTCTTGCACGGGATGGGATACAGAATATTCACTGAAAATGTAAATTTATTTGGTATCATGATTAAAAAGCTACAGCTATTTATGTGTGTGAACATTTATTCGAAGTTAATCTTTGGTATAGTTATCCCTACTATATATTTTTTTCATTTGCTTAAAACGGATCGTTAAAAGATAGGATTTAACCAGATGTATTGAAATGTTTGGAAAAGATTTAAAAAAAACTAGCATCCACTATTATACCACTGGCATGGGTTCCAAGTTCACTGATATGCAAAGTCTGATTATATAAGTGTGTAGTACATCTTTAAACGTCACTGTATAGAATCGATGTTGAAGGACTCAACATGAGGGTGATGAACTTTGCGTGCCACTTTAAATTTCTATAGATGCAGTAAATTACCTCTGAACACGAATGGTTTTTTAGTGCTGGTATTGAAAATGCCTGTAACAAAACAAAAATCAAATGAAATATTTGTACATTAATTTTAGACGCACTTAAACAAGTCCAGAGTGATTCGAGATAATGATGCCACTATTTATGCGAGCAATGATTTCAATCACCTTCTTCTTATTATTAATCAAATCTAGCTCTTGCAAACTAAAAACACAATCAGGCAGGGGAATGGATGATGGTGGAGATTGTATGCGTAACGAATGTTGCATCGATTTGCTTGATTTCTCAATAACTAAAAAAATTGTCTGATCCCGATATTTACGAAACCGATATTTAAGTATGGTTTACCCATAGATATCTGACAATTATTTGGAAACCGAAAGTCTTAGATGATAAAATGTTGTCAAACACAGATTTCCGTCCTCTTGCGCCCATTGCAACAAAACGTGTATTATAAGACATTTGATACGTATTTTCAAATCAGAAACTGTTAAGATTGTTTAAAAAATAACGATTGACATCGATACTTATACGTCATCCTCGAACATATACAGTAACCCGTCCATATATTTGGTGGGTGGTACCGTAATTTTTTTCTCGATTTTCGTCATATTCGGGCGTATTTTTGAAAAAAAAATTATACTAACTCAGTCAGTAGCTCCACTTTCTATGATTATAGGTGAAATTTTCAGTTATGTCATGGTGGTTAGAACTGGTACCCTTCAGGGTAACCAGTTATTTAAAATAAACATTCATTATCTTTATTTACTACAAGGGTGCAAATGGTAATTCGAAATGAGTAACCTGTTCCAAATTTATCATGACATCACTGGGTTGCGGTCTTCATCAAAGTTGTTCAAATTAATGAGGCTTAGCATAAGACCGAGGATAAGGCCTTTTCGAAGGCGAACAGTAAGTTTAGAATTTCTCTTCCAGTGTTTATCACACTACTATACTTTTTAAATTCTTATTGCTAGTATACTATTTCACTTCTTATTGCTTTAACGCAGAATAGGTAGCGGAAGGTATTGGGCTTTGACAAAATTGTTCTGATGAATAAGACCTGTTGGATGGACAGTAGACTGATACAAAATTTGAAATTTTCGCTCCACAGTGCTTAAACGGTTCCAAATCGGGTCCTGGTTAGCCTCCCAAAATTTGAACTACTTTAGTAAGATACTGACTTGGCAATTCACAATTCACCACATCACTATGCTTTTAAAAATCATAGCAGTGATTGTAGCAAATTTTCTCAGCTACAACTTCGGTGAAAACTACTTTTCAATCAAAAGTTATTAATGATTAAAGTCACTGGTGTCTTATGTTTATGCTCATTCAACTGTTCAGCAGGCTACATTGGTGTTTCTGGTGCGAAGAATAGAGCACAAATATCATGGCTACTATGTCACACTGCAGAATACAGTGTTGCCCACAGAACAGCCGTTTGATCATGTCATAAGATTATCAATCTCTAAAACAATTAACAACAATTTAATTTGACATTTGACTGAAAAACGATATTGCGCAAAGTTGTAGTTTAGAAAATTTCCCGTAAGAATAGTTATTGAAATTTTCGAAAAAGAAATATAAAAAATGGGTAGAAGACAATGAACAAAAAGTTTGGTTTTCCGATAATAATTTCCATATTTTGGGAGGCTAATCAGAACCTGATTTGAAACCGTTTGAGCACTGTGGAGCGAAAATTTCAAATTTTGCATCAGTCTAATGGACAGCTTAGTTCAGAATACATTCAAAAAGTGACGCTAGTGTGCAATTGCTTACTTAAACTTAATAATACAACAAGATAGATGTTTGCTGTTTTGAGTAAAGATGCTCTGAATGACAAGATCTATCATATCTCATTCAAAAAATCTAACCACTATTTGATACTAATGGATTGCTTAAGTCGACATCTCAACTAGATAGAAGGTCACTGTCAACACGACCTATTGTATAGTGGACAGCTCAGTTCTAAATTCTCACACCATATGGAGCGAGTATTATGTTTGACTTATTACTTGCTTTACCTTGAAAGCCCAACTAGATAGATGGTTGCTGTTTTTGACAAAGTTGATCAGATTTATAAGTCCTATTGTATGGTGGCCAGTTTAATTGAAATTTTCTTCACCAGGTGACACTAGTTTACGTAGAGACTTGCTGTCTTTGCCCGAGATGTTAAGATGGACAATACCTATTGGATAGTGCACAGTTTAGTTCAGAATGCTGTCACCAGGGAAGTAAGTGTGCCTTTAAAATAATGATTCATTAAATCAAAATGTTAAAAGGTTCTTCTTATTCTTCAAAGTTATTACTTCCCAACTGGAACTTTGGTTTTGTCTTCAACTTTCATTTTTTCTGCTGTTTTGTGACTGCCGTCGTTACTTGTAAAATGGACGTTTTACGAATGTAACGTATTGGCTTTTAACGTATT